CTCCTCCTAATGCACCCCAGGATCCCATTGGCTTTCTTGGCAGCCAGGGCACGCTGCTGGCTCATGATCACCTTGTCACCCACCAGGACAGCCAGGTCCCTCTCTGCAGAGCTGCTCTCCAGCAGGTCCGCCCCAAGCCTGTACTGATGCATGGGGTTGTTTCTGCCCAGGTGCAGGACCCTGCGCTTGCCCTTTTGGCAATGCTGTGGTGAGAAATGAAGAGCTGTCATCTTCTCCATCTTGCCATTAACCAGCAGCAACCACCTCCCAGTGAGGCACTGATTAGAGTCAGAAGTTGGGCACCCGGGTGAGATGCGGTTGTCTACATGACGGTGCTTTGTGCCGTGGGATTCACCCGAGGTTTCTGCAGGTGTTTCTTGAAAATGCACATTGCTCGTATTGTTTTATTAATGAAGCGAGGGACACAGGTGAAAAGGTGCCGGTCAGCTTCTGTGTAACGATTGCTGTGCTGCAGACACCACCACCGACAGTGTATTAACGGTGCAATGTCCTAGGAGGCAAAGGGGAGCAAGGCGAGCGAGGAGTGAGTGGAAACCCCGGTTATCCAGGCAAACCTGGGCTGCAAGGTAGGTAACACGGGCTGGGAAGCCCCGGAATATTGCGCTGACCTTTCCCTTTGCTGTTGGTGATGCCCGTCCGTCTCCAAAACAATCCAATACTAGTGTTTTTAATCCTTTTTTTTTTTCCTCCCTCCTTTGCCCTGTCCCTAGGTGAAGCTGGAGTAAAAGGCAACAAGGGCAACTACGGCTTCCCTGGACTGAAGGGACAAAAGGGGTCCAAAGGGGACACGTGTGAGAACGGGACCAAAGGAGACAAGGGAGACAGGGGGGATGCTGGAGAGCCGGGAGTGGACGGAGAGCAGGGTGGCAAAGGGGAGAAGGGAGACGCGGGGGAGAAGGGGTACTGCGGGGAGCCAGGGGGGAGAGGTGCCAAGGGGGAGAGAGGGGAAGGGGGCACAAAGGGAGAGAAAGGCAGCAAAGGGGAGATGGGGCTTGAGGGTGTGCCGGGGGTGGACGGAAAACAGGGAGAAAAGGGTGAGCAAGGAAGTAAGGGTGACAAAGGGGACCTGGGACCCACCGGCGTGACCGGACCTTCTGGGCCCAAGGGGGTGGCCGGCAGCAAGGGGGGCCGAGGGGCCCCAGGGAAGAAAGGCTCCCGTGGGGCGAAAGGCGCCCGAGGGGACGCCGCAAAGCTCCTGCGATCGGCGTTCAGCGCCGGCTTGTCCAAGCCCTTCCCTCCGCCCAACGTCCCCATTAGATTTGACAAGATCTTGTACAACGACCAAGAAGATTACAACCCCTCCACCGGGAAATTCAACTGCAGCGTGCCCGGGGCGTACGTCTTCGCCTACCACCTGACGGTGAGAGGGCGTCCCGCCCGCGTCAGCCTCGTTGCCCGCAGCAGGAAGGTGGCCAAAGCCCGTGAGACCCTCTACGGCCAGGAGATCGACCAGGCATCCTTCCTGACCATCCTGAAGCTGAGCGCGGGCGACCAGGTGTGGCTGGGGGGTGCGCGGGACTGGGACGGGGGCTACGGC